ATCAGTTACTGTTTGTTCCTTTACATTTTTTATCTTTGTGCTTTATGTTACTCCTTGAGATATGTTTCTGGGAAAGGTTGCTTCATGTTTTGGGAGAAAAATGCTTTGTTTCAGGGGAAGAATGGGCAACAGTTTAGCCCATTTACTGAGTTCATGATGTACATTGTAAARCCCCTTTACCAGTAATTATTCCATGAACAGTGTGTTCAGCTCTGTTCAGTTTCCTCGACATGTGAATATAGAAAGGAACTAAAGAAAAGGTCCCAAAGCGGGTATGAAGAAGCCCAGCTTGGGAGATCAGGTATAAAGAGCCTCATTCATTTTGGTTTATCTGTAGTACAGGGATATGCCCTTACTCCATGAATCATCTCCTGACATCTGTTTGCAGCGCTGTTTTCTTAGCAACAGCGGCTCTGCTTTAGATCTGAGCTCTCAATGGCCGGGTTTGTGCCGAAAGATGCGAAGAGACAATCCAAGCTCTTCCTAGCGAAGCTGTGCCTTTCAGCCCGTTTAGCCAATTTATTTTCTTCCCYGAGGCACAATAAATACCGGTTTTTAAAAGTCTACCAGCTGAGATGTTTTTTCTGTGTCGGTGCAGAGATGCTTATCTGTTGCTTACCACAACTGAAGTGTTTCCCCAACACGATCTGGCAGCGTGGGAGAGGATGGCCATGGGCTGTGTCCTGTTGAAAGGATGAGCTGTGTGTGCACTGCTCTTGCTCTACCTTTCCTGCAGGTTTTTCCAAGCTATCATGGTACTTCTGGATGTGGGAGAGGACGTGGTCCTGAAGGAATGCTGCCAGTGGTGGCAAGGACCCACTCCCAGCAACGTGCCTGTTGGAACAAGCAGTTGGATTAGGCAGTGGGATTATACGCAATGTGGAGTGTGGAGTGTGAGTAACGCTTTGGGATGGATCCATAAGCTGTGATTAAARGGAAGGTGACATTTCATACACCTCTCACCTAAGCTTTCCTTGCTTGAATTTCATCCCKGGACAGTTTGGGTGGGGGCCTCCTGTAATTGAGGCAGAAGTGGCCATGTAGGCACTGGCAGATCAGGTTGATCTGATTTTTGCTATTTGTGCTCCCTCGAGAGGGGAATCAAGACCTGACTTGCGTCAGGGGGAGTTTTTTACTTCAGCTGGTGTGGCTCCATTGGTCAGGAATGTAAATATGTGGGAGTACAAGTGGTATATCCATGTTAAGAGACTGGTGATGTTCACCCCACCCTCTAAGTGCCAGTCTGAGCAGCAGATTATACCTGCAGTAGAACCTACAACTACTGGGCTATCAATCACAAAACACATGTGTGTTACTCCTTAGGCCATAGATTTGACTGCCTTGCCCTTCCTGGACTGACTTGCATCCTACAGAACATGAAGGGTGTCAGTAGCAAGCAGTCACTGTGAAGGATGAATGTATTTTGATTTGGGGTAATGCCGAGAGTGGAGAAACTCCTCATGTTTTGAGGACTTTCTTTGCAAAAGGATTGCAGGGTGGAGATGGGAAGACTAAATAGTATTGCTGAACACTGGCCAGCTTCCTGCCACCTTTATGGGACACACACAAGTCCTGGTGTTGGTGAGGGTGCAAAGAAGACAACCTCTACAGATCACCCAAATCCCAGTATTCACAGCAGGAGATGGAACAAACTGCTTCTGTGGAGATGCAGAAGGACCAGGACAGGGACAGAAGAGGGAGTGGAGATAAAACTTCTGTTTAGCCCCGTTCTGGGCCCAGCAGAAAGCTCTGTGAGAGAAAGGGCTGGGGCAGAACAGGCTGTTATCTCCCCATGGGAGGGGAAATGGGACAGAGCTTTGACTCCAGGCATAACTTTGGTCTCRTAGGGAGGCATGTTTGCTTTCTAACCTTCCTGCAGCCTGCTGATAACTCCCTGCACAATGCAGCTGCACAGATTGGCTCGAGAGGTTTTTAAAGGAACTGCTGACCCTGGTACAAGCAATACTGTCTGTGACCGTGAGGAGGAGGAGAAAAGAATGGCATTAGTTATCTGAGCATTAAGACTCAGGCTGCACGTTCTATCAAAGGAAATGAAATTAAAATGGAAAACAAAGCACTTGTAATTACTTTCATGGAAGTGTAGKGAGGAGGCAGAAATGTAGGGTTTACAAGAAAAAGTTCTGCTTTCTGAAGCTTCTGGCCTGTTGGTTGCCAGGAGGAAGACCAGAAGTTGGTGAATGGTGGAGCAAAAGGGCGAGGCAGAGAGGGGAATGAACACTGGACACCCCTTGGTCTGTGACACACAGCCTGTGTATATCCACCCATGAAGGGGCTATAAAGAGACTTCAGAAACAGGTTTTGTTCCATTTCCATTAGAGCCCTGTGTGCTGGGTGGGTTTCTGTTGTTAATAACCACTTGAATGATGCTGGGAAAGGAACGAAAGCTGCCTCGCAAGAAGCAAGTCCGGCTTCATGGAGACTCTTGTGTCGTGAGCAATGTGCAGCCCTGCTGGCAGGAATATTTGGTGAAATTGTCAAGTTGAGTGACTGAATGAAATTCTTCTAGCAAAGCCGAGCCCAAGGGTGAAGGTGGTTGTGTATCATCTAATTACCCATCTGGGGAGGGAAGYACAGAGTGCTTGGAGGGTGTTCTCACTTCAATGTAACCCCAGGGGTGCTGCTTTGTTTTCTTCCTTTTCCCCATCTTAAAAGGGGACAATCAATCTTGCTGAGCTATATAACATATCTGCATGAGAGACAGTTCTCCAGACTCCTTTCATAGTCACTGGAGAGGAGCACACACTTTTGAGCCATGATTCATCCACACTGAGTTGGACATCTAAAAATACATTGGACAAACTGCCCTAAAAGTGCCTGTTCCTCTCCATTGTTTCTGCTGAGCTCAAACAATGAGCACTTACAGAGGTATTGCTCCAGTGGCTGTGCAGTGTCAGGGGAGCTGAATCTCTGCCAAAGTGTCTCATGTCCCAGCAGAGCGTCTCAGGGGGCTCAGAGTGTCCTCATTTCCACCAGACTCGGTGCTGGTTGTGCAGAGTAAGGTATTTGGCTGTACCTGAGACAGGGGAGCAGGCAGTGATGTCCAGTCCAAACCCACCCTCCTCCYCTGGTCAGTCCCTGGACTCAGACAAGCTTTGGGCTGCACCTGACAATCTGCTGTAAATAAGAGGCCAAAGGGGATTTACAGAGTGGCGTTTTCAAGGTTGCACATCAGGTCAGTGGCAGAGGTGGGGGCAGTGAGGACACTGTGGGCTCCAGGGGTGTTCTTCTTCCCTGCCCAAGCTCCTTGCAGCTGCCTGGCAATCTGCTGTGCTCCCGGGGGTGAGGCTGGCGCTGGCTCTCAGTGGTGGACAGCACCTGGTAGGTTCTCACTTCCTTTGGCTGAAAACCTTTTGCAAAATTATGCAGGTTTATTCTCCTTTCCCTGTCCTTTCTCCTGTAAAAATCCATAGTTCAGGCACAACGCTGGATTGTTGTGCACCYACGAAGCTGCTGTGGGTGACAGTATGTGTGCTCCTGGTCACAGGCAGCTAAACCTTGGGGTAAATGTGCAAAGGTTCAGTCTTGTGGTGGCTCAGGACATCAGCTGGGGTTATTCCCTGGTGGCTGAGTGATGTGTGGAAGCCCTTCAAACAGACACATCCAAAATCGGCAGTAGATACATCCAAATGCAAACCTCAGGAAGTTTTGGAGCCATCCAGGGAGCCGTGCCCCGGTCACCTCTGAGGTGTTGCTGCCACCACTGTGTCCTTTAGCAGTCTGGAAAAGCAATCAATCAGTGACTCTCCTAGAAAAAACCTCTCCATGCAGGTAAACCAGGCAGGCAAAGAATAAAATTCCTCCTGTGTGGAAAACTAGTTCACAGAAGAAAGTCTTTTGCTARATGAGCTAAATGTCGAGGGAGAGACTTTGCTGAAGGAATTTGGTTGTGTAGCAGAGATATGAAAYACGGGCAGGTACTGAGTGTTAAATGGATCCTGTGCACGTCTGATTCCAGACAAATACCAGACTATTCTATCTTTCCTGATACAGGAGAAAGAATATGATAGCCATGAAATAGAAAGAATGTGTTGTCTGAGCCAGGATTTGATTCCTRAAGTTCTTCTTAGGGGGTCTGTGGGTGAACTCCAGGAGGTGAAACAGATTGCAATTTGATCCCAGAGAGAACAACTGGGGAGAGGAGGGAAAGAGCAAATTATTAAATAAGAGCCAGGAGAAAAGCCAGTCTCCAAAAATAAACTTTGAAGATCAATTCCAGGTATTTCCTGGCATTGTCATYCTGCTTCATCAACTGCTCAGACTGTAACAGGCGGTTTCACAGTTAGCAGGCTGATAGGTTTAGGGTTGTTTGGTCTTGTTTGTTTTTTTTTTTTTTTTTAAGAAAAAGCATGTATGATAAGCTGTTTGCAGTGTTGTGTCTTATGCAAAACTGGGTGGAATGTTGGTGATGAAATACCCCTGGGATGGAGAAAGCAGAGCTTGTTATTGTAAGAGGCAATCAAGAGCAGAGCCGGCTTCATTTTGGAGAAGTGAAAAGTGTGGATTTTCTTCCCAATTRCATGTCCAGGCCACCTCAGCAGTTCCTAGGTAGGTAGGAGCGGATTTCTGTGCAATTTAGTGTCCCTGCAGAGCAGTTGGTACTGTGGGTAACCTTGGAATGGCTTTATAAATAATGCTGGCGGGTGAAGGCATCACCTTCGCAAAGGCTGGAGGTGACTCTGAACGTGTTTCTTGTGAAAATTCTGCGGGAAACCAGTCCAGGAGTTCACTGTACCGAAAGCTGGCGTGTGGATTGTGAGGAAATTGAAGCATATCCTGTTCCGAGGGCTTGTGTTGGTGACCACACGCCGTCTCCATGCTGGGGTTTCGTTCTGGACGCTGACTATGAGAGGTGTGTCCCTAAAAACTGTACAGAACACGCCTTGGTGGGCTGGAGTTGGCTCAGCTGGGGCTGGCTCATGTCTTACCTCACCTGCTCAGCCCCGGCCGCGCTGCCTGGCCCGGGACACGATGGTGCAGCAGCTCTGCTTACGCAAAACGGGCTCTGGTGCTTGACTGGACTTGTCCATAATAACTCCTGTGTTAGTAATGCTGGTGCCTTCAGCCAGGGAGATGCACGGGGCTCAACTGTCCTGCTTTGTTTGTGCTGTAAGAAATCCTGATTCCCAAGGAAAGCAGCCTGGACACCCCCTGACTCAGACGTGGATGGGAAGGCTGTGCCGTCCTGAGTGTGCAGAAGTGGAGTGCATGATATAAGTAAGGCATTCTTTAATCTGGGCTATTTCTAATTTGGAGTACTTGGCTTTGCAATTGCACCTGTGTTTTATTTTTTTATTCTGTGTAACGACAACAGTTTATTCTAACAGGTTACTGTGCAACACCAAGTTCTATCTCTTGGGTTGTCTGTGAGCCCTTCAGCTGTTTGATCCTCTCTGGCATCTGGCAGGAGTAACAGTGTTTGGCCTGGTTTTCACTGCACACAAAAAGTTACTCTACGTGCTTGAAATGATGCTATAAATCAGAGATTTACATTTGTGGGGGTTTTTCTTTCCCGTAAAGCAGCTAATTCTTTAAAAGCAAAGGAAAGGATATTTTATTTGTCTTAAGTGGTAAAGGAAAGTRCTTTTCTTGGTGGAGAAGGTGCTGCAGTGTCAGTGTGGGAGACGGCACTGTTGAGGGGCCCCTTTTGTATGTGCAGAACCAGCACGGGCATGTGAACGTGCAGGCTGTGCTTGTAGAAACGCTGCTCTGCCCACAGACCTTGAAATGCGGGGGACAGAAGGCATAAAGCAAACAAACAAGACCCAGAAGGCATAAAGCAAACAAACAAGCACTTCCAAGGGAGTTTTCAGCTGGAAGAGTTATAGGACATGAGAAACTCGTTCTTTGGAGAGGCAGCCCCTCCAAGTTGGAGCAGAGGTGTGCTGGAGAAGAGCAGTAGTTTGCATTGCTGTAGCCTCGATTGGACATGTGTGAGAGAGAAGCTGATGAATTCACAGCTGCCAGGCTAGGACCTTATCATTTAAATTGTAATTTGCCCTTCAAATTTGGCAAGCTTCATTTGCCAGTTGCTTGACAAATCTCCCTTTTGTGTTTTCCTTCTGCCTGTGTGAAACAGTGAGCGCTGCTGGAGAGAGCTGCTTGCAGTGGATTCCTTCTCTCTGCTATATTTAGTGATCACAGCGAGTTTGTGATCTTTGCAGGAATACTGCCAAAGCAGATAGGTTTAGCCTGAGACATGCCCTTTCTCTTTTGGCTCCCAAATCCACAGTGCAGTTCACTTTCCTCTCCTTTCCCGGCACCGTCAATGGCTCTGTCTGTGAGGTCTGTTGTGCAAACATTGCTCTGCTGCTTCCAGGGATTCTGCTCAGTCAGAACAAGTCCCTGCTTTAGTGGAAGGAAACTCCTGCCTTCAGATTGCCGCTATCCCTAGTGGCTTTCTCTTTTCCTAACTTCCTGAAAAAGCAGATTACTGCTCTTCAGGAAGATCCTTCTGAACAGTCTAATGGTTTAATTTAGAAACTCCAGGCCTTTTATTGCTTCGGGGAGCTTCTCTCAACAGAATAATGTGTTCGTTAACCATCTGACTGTTTCCTTTATTTGGTGAAAAAGGGAATTGGGAAGGCAGTGGGAAGGAAACATTTGTGTTCCTTCAAAGGCAGAATATTACYAGGAGCCCATCTCTCATTAATATGATGCCATTAATGCCAAGCAGGTGTAGTTGTTATAAACTGCTGTTTTAAATACCTTTTCCATGTAAAGTGTTCCAGTGTGCTTGTGAGTCTGAGCACTGACTTTCAGCTGCAATCCAAGGGAGGGAAAGAAACTCTTGTCAACAAGAAGAACGACTTGTTGCAATGCTTCTTTGCTTAGTTAGCGTAGGCAGCGTGGTCCAGTTTGTTCCCATCAGGCGTGAGAACTAAAACTCCCTCTGATTGCAGACAATTCCCACCCCTTCCCAAGTGTACAGTCTGACTCGGGGCCAGCACTCCCGAGCAGGGGCTGTGCTGGGCTGTGTGTGGCTCTGGCGCTGGAACTGCCCTGCCAAAGGTCAGCGGTCCATCCGTCCGTCTGTGCTGCTGCCCAGCCACGCTGTCCCCTTGCTGCAGGAGATCAGGCAGAGCGTGGCTGCTCTGTGCTGGCCCTGGCTACAGCCTGAGCCCAGGTAGCCAGGGCGAGCGGCCAGGTAGGGCTGTGTGCCATGGGAAAAGGGAGAAAGGCTCGTAGGAGTGAAATGACAGCGAGTGTCAGCTGCTTTCCTGGTTAAGGCAGCGCGTAGGAGCAGGTGGTGTTTGTGCGCTGGCTGCAGTTCCCAGGTACGGTGTGGGTCTGGAGCCAGCCTGTGTTCCTCGTGTTGTTTTTGTGATAACCCTTCCCCACAGCCCCATTATCTGCGGGAACGGCCTTGGGGCCGTGCTGGCTGGTGGGAACGCGCGACACCAGCCCCTGCTCTGGAAAAGCTTTTCTGTTCTGGCCTYGTGGCAACACACCGTGTAAGCCATGTGGCTTTTTGGATATGAAAGCCTTCTGGGCATTGCACAGGTAGATTTGGGCCGGGGTGTGCTCAGGGGCTTTGTGTTTTGTAGACTGAATTGTCGCCCAAGCCCTTGGCTTTGATGGAGGCATGAAGTCACCATGGTGTTTTTGGCTCYCTGCGTAGCAATGGGCCCTTGGGTGATGGAGGTGTTTGGCATCAGCTTCCTGAGCCTCCAGGCATTCAGCACCCCTCTTTTCAACACTAACAACTRTGGTTCTGAGTCCTGTGCAGTTCCTGTGTTTATTAACAATGTGGCAAATCTTGGAAACCAGTTGAAAACTGAATTATGTCTGCAGTTTTAGTCAGTGTGCTTTGGCACTGCCTTCCCACTTGGGAACAGATAAATGTGAGATAGACTCTTGTTCTGAGGGCAAGTAATTGCATCGTGCACCTCCGTGGGTCAACCTTTGGGACTGTGTGAACAAGACTTAGCTCTGTTAATAAAAGCATTTCTCTGTGTGTGTGTTAACATCAGCATGGAGTTAGTGCCATYTTCCAACTGTGCAATTGTACCAGGATGACTGATATATTACCACCCCCCCAGAAAAAGAAAAGGTCAAGAAAGACACTTTGCTAACTGTGTTTTTAAATTGATTAATGCAATGAGAAGATCCATTGTGCCTCTGTAGCAGGAAGTGTTGCTGATGTGTAAATCAAAGACAAACCAGCAACATTTGCTGGCCTTAAAAATGGCGTGGCTTTTGTATACTCATATGCTTGTCCTGGCTGGTTTTCAAAAACTATAAATAGATCACTGGGAAGTCCCTGGAAAACAAAAATGTGCTGCTGCTGCTTGTCATAAATAAACTTGTAAGAGCTGCATTGGTTTTGCAGCTCTTCTTTGGAGGAGTCCTTACTTGTCCATTTGGTTCCAGAGCATCAGGTCACATGAGACAGGAACATTTCTGTGGCACTGGGGTACAGCTTTGTATCCAGCTCTGAATCTTGTCAAAATCTTCTGTTCTCTGAGTTTGGTGTCTTTCAGGTCTATCTAATGCTGTCTTGGCTTGGTTCTACCTCAGCTGAGTTGTTCAGTCTTCTCCAAGCTTTTCTCTTTCTGATTCCTTCATTTCCAGTTACTGATAGCATAGGAATACCCAAGGCCAGACTTGTTTCAGCTTCATCMCAGGCAGTGCAGAGTCTCTGATGCCACATGCACTAATGCCACTTATTAAAAGACTGGCTGATAGCCATGTGACTGCTGTTGGGTGTTAGGTAGGATCAGAAGGCTGTAGCCTCTTTTCTGCATCACCTTCAAGGGGATGGAAACCTAATGGAAGCACGTTTCTTCCTCCAGGGAGGCACAGAGAATATGTCATTATTGCACGCTGGATGATGACAAATTTTTTTTTTTTTTTGCCAGACAGAGAGAATTTGTCAGTTCCTCAAGAGAGGAAGATAAGGTAGATCTGTCAGTGATGCTGTCCTGATTTTTGCTCCTGAGGATCTGGCTTGGAAGGGAAGGGGATCCGCATGTTTGCTGTGTGATCACATTCCAGCTGGGAACATGATACAATCTGAGGTGGCCCAGAAGGAGCCAGAAGAGCGGTGCTGGCAAGTGCTTTAAATGTGGAAAGGATGGAAAGGATGAACTTCAGTCTGGAGTATGATTTTAAAAGAAGTGTTTAAATACAAAGATATTAGAAAATGCATGCTTTAAACAGACCTTTTTCCTCACTGCTGGGTGAAAAAATGGTGGGACCATTGTAAGTRAAGTGTTGAGGAGAAAGCAGGACCATCAAAGTGCTATGCGAAGTTCGCAGGCTTAACAGAGGTGTGAGTACATCAGAAGTGACGGGAAAAGAAAATATTACAAAAAAAGCAAAGAAAATGTTACAAAAAAGCCTAAACCAAACCASCTTGACTTCATGTGATTATTATTTAGGTCATGGGGTCATGATTTGGATGCCAACGATTTACCTTTAGGGAGGCTCTAAGAGACTTACAGGAAAAGTTTGCCAAGAGAAGGTGGCTCAGTAGCACTTTACAAGGCTCAAGACTTGCACCTCTGAATGTTGCTTCTTCTTTCTGAATGTAAAATAAACAGAGATCTTTGTRAATAGCCAAAAAGGAAAGGGTCTTCAGTTAGTCAGCATTGTGGAGCTCTGCTTCCTTTGGACTGGTTCACCAAAGATAAAAATCTGCCGTTTCTGTTCGCGACGTTGGCTTGGCTCAGGGCATGAGTAATAATAATCTGTTGCTAGGAACAGACTTCAGTTTACATGGAGAGGCCTCCATGGAGGGCAGGTCTTTGAGTCCCTSAGTGGCTCATAAATAACCTGTGGCGCTTCAAAGGAGGAAAAGTAAAAACAAGCGGTTGGAGATGCCATGAAAAGATGTCTGCAATTCCTATTGCAACACCAGTGGAAAGTGTGTAGCCAACATAATTGGGAAAGTATGGGGCAGGGATCTGCAAAGGGAAAACCAGAGAAGCAGGGGTTTACTAACAGTGGGTTATAATATTCAGTCACTTCTAGTTGGGCATGATTGCGAGCTATCTGCTGCTTTCAGCTTTAAGGAGGGCAAAACTGAGCTAATTTCATGGTATATGATTTTTCAAGATTGGCTCCTGGGGAGGGCCGTGAGGGTACATCTGTGCAGGGACATGCACAAGTGAGCTGTGAACCCTGACTTTTACCTGGGACACGGTGGRAATCAGACCTTCTTCTTTACCTTTCTCCCTAAATCCTGTGCACAGCTGCTTAGAGGTAGCCTTAAATTAATTAATGAAATACCCATTCCCCATTTTAGCTGTAGTTAGATGTGTGTTTTGAAGATGGCAGTGGTTTRACTGTAAGGACTGTGCTGTGCAGCTGCTGGATTGCCATGCCATGAAATTTTACCATTTGTGGTACTTGGAACTGCTGAAAGCCAAGGTTTGTAAACTGCCCCGATCTGAACTAATGTTAAGGCTGTGAAATCCTTTCTAATGAATCCTCTAAATCCATCTGAAACTTTTTTCCTTCTTTCTTCTGAGACAAGAATGTCCTTATAAAGACCCTGCTTAAGAAGAGCATCTCTTAGGTCTCATTAGTACTTAAGCCTCACTGGAGACAAGGTATTTAAATCAGTGTTGTCTATTCTTATGATAATGGAATGCAAAGCCTGGGTATGATTATTTTCAGGTTTGTTCCTTGCGATTTGCAGTCTCCTACTTGCTCTTAGGTTTCTCCCTTATCAATGTGCCTATGTGTGTATGTTAATGCCCAGGATTTTCTGCAACCTGCTGGCTAATATCAGCTGAATTTGGTAAAGGAAGGCAAATTACAGTAGAACTGATGTGATAAAACTATGCTGATATAATTTCCACCAAYGTTGTTAGGTCCCCTTTGTGGAAATGGCTGGAGAAGTGTGGGAAGAAGGGTTTGACTCTTAGGGGTGCCCTWATGGGGAAAGCTTTTGTTGATAGTTGAACCAGATTGAGCCCAGGTGGCCAAGAATTTACCAATTTGTAGAACCCCATGAAAAGCTTTCCTCTCGAGGAGGACACTGCTAATGCACCTTTCTTGTATGACTTACCTTGTACTGAAGAAAACATGAGCTTGCCCARGAGTTCTGGTGCAATTCACATTAAGTTAATCCATGGGAGATGAATCCGCTGAAAATAAGGTCCCAGTGTTCCTGGAATTGTCTCTTTGACTCTGTGAGATTTCACAGGCTATCCCAAGGTGTAAGCAGTTAATGCTTTCCTACATTAGTGCTAGACTCTCCAGAGAGAGGGAAAGACAAGGTCATTCCCTTCACTTTGGGTTTTATCCCCAAAGTGTCATTTGAAAGCATTTGGTTTATTTTCAGCGCTGTGGGTATATATTTCCTAGTTTTGCAGCATTTCATGGAGGAAAAGGGATTGCTTTAACTCTGCAGTTCATTGAGTTGTTATGAAACAATAACTGACTCAAATATGAAGTAGAAAAGATGATGCTTCCTACTGCCTATGAAAACTATTGTTGGTTGGTGATCTTGAACTCTTCAGAGTTGATGGTTTTAGACTATTCAGAGKCTGCAATGATACAGTTGCAGTCAATATGCTGTATTTGGGGCAGGGAGTAGGACACAGTGGGTAGCATATTGTCCSTGTATAATCCCTTCTGAGACAATTTGTACCTTGTACCTTTTAAAGAAGGTACTAATCCTTGCAGGTATGTCCTCCAAGAGTGTTTGTGTCTCCCCTTCAAAGTGGAATCTTCTGTTGGGGCAGGGCAAAACTCATCTGCTGGGTTAGATGGAGAACTGAGGGCTCGAGGGACATGAACACTTTAACATAAATTTACCTGGTATTAGCTGTGTGTGTTTATAACCTGCACTGTGGATTCATTGAATGGATGTATGTGTTTAAAGATAAAAGTTTAAAATTTCCCATCCTTTTGTGAAGRAGGCCATAGATTGACTTTAAAAGAAAACAAGAGCATGCTTTTCGTCATTTATGCATGTTCTATGATCATGTGCTGTGATGTAATTAATTAATAAATTAAGTAACTTAAATAAAGTTTATTTAAAGCTTTAGAGCTTAATATACATTCTGCTTTGAAATCCTGGAAGTTTTATTAGCTTTAACTACTTTACTGCTTAGAGATCTGAACTGAGATTGGGGTCCCATCACATGAAGTGTGGTACAAGCACATAAAAGGAGACACAACGTGCTGTGTYGTTGCTGCAGCTGGCAAGGGCCAGGGACAGAGGAAGAAGAGTCACAGAGAGGTTAAAAATATATTTTGTGATGTTTATGAAATGTCCATTAGAGTTGTTCATTRGTCTTGCATACTTTCCTGTTACTATAATGGAATTTTAATGCCAAATCYTGCTCCCTTTCTCTGGACTGTGGTCCCAGTGACTTCAGCATCATGCAAGTTAGTTGAACATGAATTGGCTCTGCCTTTGTCATCATCTCAGTTTTGGGTGCTTTGAAGTTGAACAGATCTGTATGTTTCCATTGCTTGGCAGCTTGTTTACATACTTCTCACTTGGGTCATTTGTCATCACCTTCAAGGTGGTGATCAAAAAATCAAATTCAATACCCGAAAGATATAAAGGCCACCTGACATTTTGCATTTTCAGACTTTGGGTTTGTAYTGCTTAATCTTGAGAGAAAAAAGGAGGGAGTTTCCCAGGAAAGATTGCCTTGCCTTGGGCATAGGCAGCATTGCTGCGAGTGCTGGATTCTTGCTCAGCCCTAGCCCATTCTCAGTTCCTGTAAGAGCCCAGTATTTTTCATAGATTTATAGAATTCCATGTTGGAAGAGACCTCAAGGACCATCTGGTTCAATGTTTTGTGCTAAAAGCGTATTCCAGACAAGATGGCACAGCATCCTGCCYAGTCAAATCAAAACAGTGCCAAGGTTGTGGAATTCACCACTTCCTTGGGGAGATTAATCCAGTGCCCTGGTAGTTCTGTGAGAAATTTTCCTCCTGTGTCTGATTGAAATCTCCCTAGCAGTAATTAGTACCTACTATCCCTTATCTTTTCCAYGTGACTCCTTGTAAAAACCATCCTCTCTGTGGGCACTGTTCAGATCCTGGAATGTGGTAATAAGGTCTCCCCTCAGCCTTCATTTCTCAAGGCTCAGCAAACTCAGTTTCCTCAGCCATTTCCCCACACAGGCCTCTCAGTCTTTTGTTCATCTCTCTGCTCTTCTCTCTCCAGCCTGTCCACATAATATTTTGTATAGCGTGGTCCCAAACTGCAGCCAGTATTCCAGGTGTCCTGACAAGTGCTGAGCAGAGTGGGATGWTRACTTCYSTGTCTSTGCTGGTGATGCYCTTGTTTGTGCTGCCCAGCAATTTGTTGGCTTTCTTGGCTAATTTAGAAATCTTATKATTTCCATCCTAACCTCAAGGCTTGGCTTGTTTATATCATTGTGTTCTTGTGCCAACTAAAGATCAAGTTAGCCCTTTTCCTACTATTTTTGCTAGCTAAGCAAGCCAAACTCTTGTAAAATATGTTTTTCTTCGATTATGCAGATAGGTCTCACCTTTACCTGCCCCAGCTGGGACTCCCCTTTCTTGAATCTGRTGCCTTGAGTTGCAGCTGTGAGTTGTTGGTGACTTGCAGATATTGGCCATATGAGCTAACATCTATTTCTCTGGAAATCCAGAGGCTTTTTTTGTTGCCTTTTTTCTCTCTTGTCATCAGTAAAATGGTGTCCCATGGCAGGGGGGTTGGACTGATGGTCCCTTCCAGCCCAAAGCACTCTAAATTGGGCAATAATCCCTGATCTCATGTAGATGCTGTTAATGTGAATTGATTGATGTTTGTGAAGTGTTCAGATGCTGGGGTGGTGAGTGCCATAGAAAATCTTGTGAGTGACTCAATAATCCTGTCATCAGAGCAGCTCTTGGATAGAGCACAAGGACACGCATTGTTCGGGGTGAGGAAAGTAAAATATTGAAGAGCTCTTTGTGAAATGTGTGTTCTCCTTTCTGCTTAGTGAAGGAGAGAGGCAGTAAGGAAAAATAGTATGGAAAGGAGTAAACAAAGGCTGCCTGATGATTCATGTGCACAAGGGAATGGATGTAAGAATTTCTCTGGCATTCCTTAATGTTGTATTTCTTGACTCATCTATTCACGCCCTTTATTTTGACATATACTTGGTGGATGAGTTATTAATGTATGGTGTGGAAATCCTAGTGCTTCTGGTGAAAAGGTTACAGTAGTTTAGGTAGCAAAGCTTGTTTAAGAGTGAGCCCTTATTTGATTTTCAGCTTAATTTCTTTTTGAATTTGTTTAACTTCTGGGTTCTTGATAAAAATGAGTCTCTATCTTAAACTCCCAGTTCTTCCTACAGTGGCAAATTGAACAACACTGCAGAACCAGGAATACTGGTAGTTTTTAAGAAAGAACATATTGTTTTCCAAAGTTGCACTGGAGATAGGGGAGGTATCCAGGGAGAGGAAAATGGAGGAGTTGGAAAAAGAAACTGCTTCATGGGCGTTGAGGAGTAACAAAGGAACCAGACAGAGACAGCAGTTGTGTTGATTCTCATACGATAGCTGCTGCTTTTTCATTTCACCTTAATCTTTGCAGATTCTGCCTGAATTGTTTCCATTCTGCAGCAATTATCCAGGCAGGAAGGGAGATTTGAAAGGTATAAGGATTAAAAAAATGAAATTTGGCAGCTGCAAGTCTGCAGAAGGCACCGTGAGCCTTTGTCACCTTGGCTTTCTCGAAGAAAGCAACACTTTTTAAATTGTCCTAATCCTGGTGCTTTTGTTTTCATGGCAAGACCCACTGGGATCCCTGGTTTGTGTTGTAGGGTGCTGTTGGCCGCTGTTGGAAAAGAGTCAAAGGACCAAAGCTTGGGTTCCCAGAGTAGGAACAACCCCTTTATTCTGTATAAACTGAGGAAATAGCTGACCAAGGGAAGAAAACCCAAAACAAAACGCGTACACTCAGTGCTGCATCATCACTGAGCATCGTCAATTTTTATATTAAAATGTACTGATTTGCTTCTTTTTTTTTTAATGTATGATTTCAGTTTGGAAATTGATTAAAGAATCTCCATAGAATTCAATATGGCATCACAGCAGTCATCTGCATCGACAGAGGAGCAGGCTTCCTCTGAAATAGATGATCTCCATCTAACGCTGCAAGGTAAGTCACTTACCCTTTCTGTGTATTTTTAATTTAGATTTTTGTCAAAAATCTGTGGCTGTGTGTGCAAGTTGAAGGGTATTCTGAGAAACTTACAGTGAGTGTAGTTAGTTCATGACTGTGTGTCTTTGCAGATGTTTGTGTTTCATGAGAGGCTTCAGCAGGGAAGTGAAAGATAAGCTCTTGTAGGACTTTCTCGGGATATTTTTGCATCTGTTGCCTTTTTTGGTACTGATGTTCCCACTGGTTCTTGTGCTTTGTTACTCAAAATACATGGTATTGTAAACTGTTTTCAGAGAGCCACCAGCATGAAAACAGTCCAGTTCATAAATTTCCTTCTTTTCAATTTTCTGCAATTGGGTGGTTGTATTGAATGTATTAATGAAGCTATTGACCACAGTACAATTTTATTTTATTTTGTTTTTCTGTTTTTAACTACTGTGTCCCCTGCAAGTGGGGGACAGTTTTTTTGTGGCTTTTAAACACATTTCTTATTGGTCAGTCTTTCATCCTTACTTGTCATGAGTTATAACTCATTAAGGAAGCGCTCAGTGGCTGATTTTTAATTGTTTCAGTTTAATGGCTTCTACTTGGACAGTTAAGTGATGATGAGACCATCCAACCCGGCCTTTCAGAACTTTTGGGTTTTCCTTACTCAAATGTTGAATTTCCTTCTATAAGAATTTTCCGTGAAGGTTGACTTTTCTGTGAACATATTCATGGAGGCTGTCAAGGAGGCTTGTCCAGGCAGCAGGACTAGCCCTGCTGGAAAGCTTGGTTCTGATGTGTTTGGGGCCCGGTTATTCTAGAACGGATGGGCTAACTCATGTTTCCACAGAGCTATTTCCTTTTAACTCCCTTGCAATGAAATTTCTACGGTGCTTGCTTGAGAGCAAATATGTTGAAAACAGATGGTGCAAAAGAATATTCTGCCAAGTGACTCCTGTGATCCATCCTTGCACTAATGCTGTTGCTGGAGCCATGTGTTTTGACGAGTGGGTGTTCATAGTGGTCTAAAGCTGAGCATCTTTAATGGTGGATTTTCTTCCGTTCTGCTTCAGTATTGCCTTTTCAGGAGAACAAGAAAAAACTTGTAGCAGGCAGGAGCTAGTCTGGCTTTTGCACCAAGCACAGCTTGTCAGACACGCATTTGTTGTGCCAGTCAAACGCAGCCTTTCAGCAGAGAAAGCCTGAGGTGGCTGTTGTTGTGAAACAAATTTGGGAAACACACTCTAGCTTTAAGGCAGATTTAAAGTTACATGCTGTTTTAGGACGGGGTTTTACTTTCAATTCATGTTTTTTTTTTTTTCTGAAAAGTCAGGTTGGTGTTTGTGTTGAATAACAGTTGTATTTTTTGGTCAATATCTCACTGAAGGAGCCCTGCTTAGTAAAATTGAAATTACTGTGTTTCTTTGCTGCAATAAATYGAGCTCTTAGATTATGCCAAAGTGAGCGCACTGCAAATCATGTGCCTGAGCTGCCTGTGCCTGGCTGTTGTAAAAAATCCAGAGACATCCCTGAGAAGTGACATGAGCAATTTTTTGTAATGATTGAAGACACACAAATGGCAGTGACACGTTCTGTGTACGGAGCTGTGGCGCTGCAGCGTCTGCTCAGGGTCAAACGAGCAAATGGCAATACAGTGTGAGGAAACACCCAAGACACTCTCCCTGACATGACATACAGGGACCATTAGCAGCTCTACTCACACATCTGTGGTAGCAAAGGTCAAGTAAGAAGAATAGGGTCACTCAAGGAAACAGGTTTTTCCATTAATAGGAATCTTGAGATGAGATTGGCGAAGCAGCCGGAGATGTTGATAGCTTTAAATCTTCAGGTCCACCTGGGGAAATGTTAGAGGAATCTCAGATTTGAGGAATAGCTGCTTGTAACTATCAGAAGAGCAGCTTACATTTTGTGTGACTGCAGATGGGTGTGAAACTGATGATGTGCTTTTCAAATTGCTATAAGACAGCTTCAAAGAATGTGTCCAGCATTGTATGATACACAGCATAACAGCGACATGCATAAATGGTGCAGAGGGAAAAAGCAGGACTGGAGATCAAGTCTGGATGTACTCTAGATATATTTTAGCCTACTTTTTAATTCTTTGTGATCCAACCTTCCTTTATTCCTGAAAGGCATCCAGTGGGGATAGGAGCACTTGTCTAGTCTGGTTAATTAGGGCAAGATCAACTTAATGTGTCAGTTGGTCTGGTCATACAACTTCGTGAAGTTTATGCCTAAGAAATGTAACAAAATCATTAGCTTTCTTTATTTTTCCCTTCCCTACCATATGTAGGTATGTTATTTTAGGTACGTTTGACTGTGATTTAAGCTACAATTGTCTGCGAGGACAGCATTTTTGGGAAGATAAAGAAGGAAAAAAGAGGGAAAGAACAATGTTTTTTAAGTAATTAGTGAAGAATTTACCATTTAATAGCTCTAATTATTATAGAATTCCTATTAATTTATGGCTAGTTAGTTAATAGTGTGAAAATTTGCTAGTAGTTTTTTAGGTTGAAAAGTGTCAAGGGTTAACATTCACTTTCTTTAGTAGTGTTTGGCCTAGAATATGCCATAAAGAACTTAATTGGAAAATAGGTAAAAATGTAACTTTGTTCTCAGTGCATCTTCCTTGTCAGCTAATTACTTTAAGGAGACTTAATGAAGCTTGAAAAACACGAAGAAAATAGCTAAAGAAATGATAGCAATATGTTTTTTAATCCTCCCATCTCCAGACATTTAGTTACAAAATCATGAGGCTGAAGGAAAAAGCTGCAAGAATATAAACTCATATACGGATCTTTCCAGATTTGTGTGTTGCTCTTTAACCTTTACTGGTTTTCAAGATATCCAGATGAGAGCAATAGTTACCCCTTCCCTCCTTGCCAGGTAAATGGAAATTGCTATGAAAATGCATGATGTCAGGAATTGGCAGGCTTCTTTTCTTTTTTCCTTCCCTCTGTCCCAGATGTTACAACAAAATTAAATCAGATTAAGATCAGCATTATCTGTGCCCTTTCCTTCAGCACCTCTCTGCTTCCTCAGGGTTTTCTGATGCAGCACAGCTTACAGCAGCTGCAGAATTTTTCTGTGTCCTTGCACAGCCCTGTAAAAGTGCAGGTGAAAAGCCTGGACCTGTAATGGCTGTGTCCAGTGGGGGAAAACTTAAGGGAAGGATTTCTCCTGCCAGGCAGTCGGCAAACATCTTGGTGAGCAGAGGATGCTTGATAGGGAGATGCTTCATTGAACCATGGACCATCTTTGAAACTTTGGACCTGAATTTGATCACTTTTGGTGTAGGATGGAGCAGGCAGGAGCTCGGGGCTTGGCTGGCACTGAGCATGGGAGGAATAAAGCAGGATCCCTGTCCTGTGTCTCCTCCTCCCGTGTTTCCCTCCCATCACTGCGGTGCGGGCTGGCCCCAGAGAGGGGTCCAGACTGCTGCTCGTCCGTCTGTCCATTGAAGAGGCACAGGCAACATCCAAAATTGCCTTTGGCTCCTTGAGATGAGGAGGGATGTCACCTCTTTGGTAGGAGAAGGGCCTCCTTTGGGAGGCAGTGCTTTGGGAGCTGTTGGAGATGGAGCCAGGCTGTGCTGCTGAGCAGGAGTTCGGGATTGCAGCGAGGGGAGTGCGCGGCTGCAGCAGGAACTCAGCACGGTTTGTGGCACTCTGGAGCAGGATTACTTTTCATTTTTGGAATGTAAATCTCTTTACCTGTGGGAGGATTCAACATCTATTTTCTCTCCCATGCACAAATCCTTCCCCTGTCTTTCCTAGGATGGCAAACACACCCTGTGTGTGACGCTTCCCACCAAGCTTTCCTTTTTCATGTTTGCTGAGCTAATTCAAACACAAGAGAGTGTGTTTTAGCTCTTGGAGTTTGGGGCATGTACTTACTCTTTCAATGTTTAATTAACTGCAGGGATCCTAATTTTTGGCTCTACTTATTAATCTGCGTGTGTGTTACTGTTTATTACTATAACCCAAAGGACGATAACACAGGAATGTGGTTTTTAATGCTGAAGAGGGTTTTTGAAGAAAACTGTTTGAAGAGAGTTTAGTGATAAAAATGAATGATACTATTTTCATGCAATTATGTCTAATCCTTTATGAAATATTTTTCTTCAAGTAAAATTGACAATATGGAGATATGTATGGATACGTTTTGTTGTGTAGCCTATAGTAGATTGTACTCCTCTCTGAGTAAAGGGGGATTTTTTTTGAGACCCTCTTAATTAATCCAGAGGTCAGGTAAATTACTAATTCTTATCCAGCTTTTTGTTCTAACTGTGTGCTTCGTCTGTTGGGGCCACTTGCTTGTTATAGCAACACTTTTTTTCCTTTAACCAGAATGATTAAAAAAAGTCCATTAAATTTTTATTACAATTTTACAAGGGTGACTTTTACAAATTGAAAAGCTCCTGTAGGAGCTGCACAAAAAATTATTCCCAGTTTATGCTGCCTGGGTGAGGAGCTGCTCTGTAGTTCTCGTAACTTCAGGCTTGGTGGCATGTGACAGGGCTGATGGCACTGGAGAGACAACTGACACATGACACTGCCTTGAAAAAATTCAGTCGTGGGTATTTTTGTCTGCTTCACCCGCCTGAGGTAAAAAATAGATTGTGTAGTTGCATAGGAGTGTTCCCTGCTAGGTAAATTTTGATTTGTTAAAGGCATTATCTGGTGCATAATTGGTAAAAAAATGGCACTAAAATGCCAAAGGAGCGGATGGCTCCCGAGGCACCTGAAAAGGCACTGGAGGCCACTTCAGTCAGATCCACTTCAGCTTCACTGTGGACACTCTTTAAAATGTTAGAAAAGCCACTTAAGCCCTTATCTCTAAAAGTATGTTGATATCTAAATGATGTGACTTGGTCCCTTTAGGAATTTAATCTGCAACCTGCCCGTGCCCCTGATTACTAAAAATCACTTTGTGAGCTGTGGTGGCAGTGCAGGCAGCGGTGATTCCGAGCAGGGCTGCTCCAGCATCCTCACCAGGAGAACAGCAAAAGGGTTTAAGAAAACCAGGAGGGCAAAGCTTGGTGGAAATACACTCCCTGAGTTAGCAATACTTTTGGTAAATTGGACCACTTGCTTTCAAAAGGAAAAGCAGGTTGCAAGGAATCATGTAGAAAGTTTCCACGTGCTTCACTGATATGGTAGTAGCGATTCAGTGAATATTTGTATAATACTTGTATTTGAAAAGACCCTCTCCTGCCTGTAGAAGTATTTTCCTCATCTTCACTGGACTTTGGCTAAACTCCTCAATCTTGACAAAAAATTCTCTGTTTGTTTTTAATTGCTTAACACCATGTTGCTGAACATAAATGCTGGAAATAACTCTCTTTCCCTGCTTTCCTGTCTGCAGAACATGAAACTGTTGCTGGGTGGAAAGGAAGGGAATATACAAAGGGCTTCAGGGTTAATTGCTCACATTCTCCGTGGATTGGCAAGTACTTAATGGTTCTTCTGATGGTTCCAACCATTTAAAGAATGTGCTTTCTTGGTGTGTTAGCTCATACCAGCAGTGCTGTCTTGAAGGAGCTCTCCCCGTTATCCCTGCTACCCATTCTTCAGTTAATTTTGCTGGGCTGTCAGTGAGTGTGGAAATGGTTACTTTGGATGAAACTGAAATGAAGAAGGTGCTGTGGCTTCTCTGTAGGCATTGAGGCTGCAGTTAGCCCAAGATCACCTTTGTTCCCTGCTCACATGGTGGATACACCACGCTGGGAACCCCAGCTCCTGCTCTGTTCCTGATGAGCTCCCTGCTCGCTGCTGTAGGTGTAGCCTCAGCTGACCTCAGTGGTGAAGGGAAGATATAAAAATATCATACACGAGAGGTAATTCCTTCTGGTGAAACAGASRTGAGAAGATGACAGGCAGGCTTGTACTCATCAATTTATAGTGATTGCTTAAAATTTTTGGTTTTTTAAAGGAAGAAGCCATACAGTTGTAAATTGCTCACTGGCAGTGATGCACAAGTTCTTGTGATAGAAGAAATCCTCTTTKCTGTTTTGTGACAGTGTTTTTTGAYGAGTGGGGACAGACAGGYTGCATCTGTTCTGCCATGATTTKCTTCCCCCAGCTCCCTGCTGGAGGAGGAGGTGGTGCTTTCCCCCACCTCAGGAAGGGAGGCATGAAAGGCAACAGGGGCAGAGGAGACTAATTTTACATCTTGTGTTTTCTTCATCGCAGTAGGAGGAAGGCTGGGAGTAAAACAGTGGCTGGCAGTGCTGCTGCTCTCCTTTCTCTCCCTGGAGAGTTCAGCACTCACGTGGTCCCTGCCATGTCCCTGTGTTCTTAATGATCAGCATGGTTTGCAGCACTTGTTGGTAGCTCATTACTGAATAAAACAGTCATTGTCCAGCAGTGGGTATTGATTTTTGGCTATCCTACGTGACACATTGCTTCTATGTGTTATTCCTCCATAAAGAGCTGTTAACACAGGGCAAAATGTGATAGATTTTGGGTATTTTCAGATTACCAGGTTCTTACTCTGTTCTCGCAGATCCACTTTTTAGCTTAGTGAGTTTTGACCCAAAGAAAAGGAAATGATCAGGGTTTGGGTTTTTTTTTTTTAATAGGTTTTTTATTCTAGGTCAGTGACATTTTGAAAACTAGGGCAAGAGAAAACCAGTGTCAGTTAGAGTCCTCCAAAAAGGCCTAACAAAGAATCCATTCACCCTCACGAAAATAAAAATCCGTATTAATTAACCACGTGGTGCAGATAAGAATTGGAGAGCTTGATTAAATCATTAGCACCTCTGAGCAGCAGCAGTGTCGCAGAGGGGGGGAGCTGAGAGGGAAAACACGGTCAGCCTGAAAATTGCAATACAGCTGCCAGCAGCACATCTGTACTGAGTGTGTGTGGTGTGGGCGGCATGGAAACACTGACTGCTGCACTGCAAGTGTGATTCTGTTATTAATTCAGGGAGAGATTCTATTATTATTGCTATTATTATTACTATTATTATTGCTATTATTATTACTATTATTATTACTATTATTATTACTATTATTATTACTACTACTATTATTATTACTACTATTATTATTGCTATTATTATTAATAATTATTATTGTTATTGTTATTTTTATTATTATTATTATGGTAGGAAAATAAGGCACATTGCAGCTGGGGCAGCAGTGCCTGGAAGGCAGCCCGATGGGTTGCATTTGGAAGCTTGTGGAGGGTTTGAGGTGTTCTTAGGTGTGTGCAGGGAAATAAGCACGTTGTGCTTTCACCAGGTGAGACATTCACCTGAGAGCTGCTCACATGAATCAACACTTGCTGTACCTGGCCCCTATTGCATAATGAAACATTTTCACATGGATGTCAACCAAAACAAGGCCAAGTGTGCCATCCCAGCCATCTGTAACCACTCCAAATGCGAGTTCTTTGCCTTGGTGGTGTGTGTTTGGCAGGAGCTGCAGCTGCAGGAGTTGCTGGCATTGGGCAGAGCAGTCAATATTTGCTCTCTGTCCCTGTTTGATGCTGGCACTGCCAGCCTTGCCTGCCCGATGGGACTGAGTGCAGCTACTCAATAATGGCTCGCTGGGTAATTGGCGTGGCTCCCCAGTGCTGTGCAGCAGAAGGGTGTGCCTGGCTCCTGTGCTAACATGAAGCTGGTATCTCTCTGCTATTTTTGTCCTCCTCGTGAGCGTTGTTTGGTCTGTGTGCTGTGTTTGCGCTGAATTTTCTGTTTCCAAACAAAACCTGATTTTGCCGTTGTGTTTTGTCTGCAACTTTAAGATTGCCCTTATCTTACCATTGAGTGCCGTCTCTGTGATGCTTAGAAAAATCATAAACCAGTCTAGCAAGCAGGGGAAACCAGCTTCAAGCTCTGACAGGATGGTGGTGGTGCAGATTAGAGGAGGGCTGTTGAAAGATGCCTTCATTCACTACAGGAGCAGAGTGGTTCTCCACGCACGTAACACCAATGTTTTTGTTGCTGCTCACCCGCCCAGTGAGGCAGAAAACAGCTTTGGGGTGAGGAGCAGGAGCCTGGGTTATCCTCAAATGAATCTCTGTTTTCCTGAGCTGATAAAATTCTGCAGAAACTCCTTTGGGCTCTCTTGGATCATGAAAACACTCCATGTCTGGGGTTTGTGGTTACAAATTCTCAGAGTGTAGTAAAGTGCAGGACATTTTCCTGTTAGTGGCATTTTCACTTTCATGGGCAGAATAGTCAACATTTTTTTTCTCCCCCAGGGCTTGGTATTTTTGGTATCGTTCCTCCTGCCCAGCCTACCAAAACATGCATATCTATTGCTGAGAAGTGTTTCACTTGACTCACAATATCAAGCTTTCAATTTATCTTTTGAGCAAGAGCACACTTTCAGAGGCAGAAGGGATGGTCTGTTCCCACCGTATCTCCCAAATTTCTTTCTCCCTGCAAGCCTTTTCTTGGGAAGCCAGCCCCAACACTTGCAGTCAAGGCTGCTGTGGAAAGGGAGGGAAAAAGGGATTATTTGTTTTCAGGCTCTCTCATGAGCCTTTGGGATGGCTGCTGGTGGCATGTGAGTCCATCATCCCAGGGACCTGCACCTGTGGCTGTCACCTGAGCCCTGTGTACAGACATCCAGCCCCTAGGGAGGTGTGGGTTTTGTGGTGTGGCTTGGAAAGGGAGTGTTTTTTTTCAGAGGGAGCATGGGCTGGGGAATCAGGTGATACAGTGCCCCTGACAGGGCTGGGTCTGGGGAGCTGGGTTAATAATCTGTACAGCACTGGGAGGAACACTGTTACAGGGTGCATTTCCCTGTGACAGCCTCATAACTCTCTCCAGCCCTTCAGCAAAGACCTCTTGGTGTGTGGCTTCACCTACAGATGTTCATTTATCACCTAACTCCACCCTGCATCTGGCTTAATGCCTGGCTTTTCCCAAATTCCAAGATGTATCTTGTACTGACAATGGCCCTGAGTCCTTGAAAGGTCATTTAGGAATGGACAGAGCAATTGTAGACATATTTCTCTGCAGAATTATGTGTTCACAACAATTTTTGTATTTGCTGATCTTCTAAGAAAACCTTCATTAGTTATTCTCTGCATCCTGTAGGTTATGCTTGATGGTAGAGCTCTTTGCTGTATCAACTCAGCAAGCGAGAAAATACAGCTATAAAATAAGACTTGAGAATAATTAATAAATAGTAGCTTAATATCTGGAAGAATGAACCTTAAGTTTGAGATGGATGCCATGTGTCTTTTTGAGAAAGAGAAATAAAACATGATCTTTTTTTCCATTAACTCTTTTTCTTTTTTTTATTTTCATTTCCTAGTCCAGCGAGAGTTTACACAGAAGAAAACCTTTACTAGTTGGATAAATTCAATATTGGCAAAGGTAAGTAGGGAATTCTTTAGCAAAGACATGTTTTTTTGCCTTTTTGATTCAGATAATGCTGTTTGGACATTCATAATTTTTTTAGGAATAAATATAATCAATACAATGGATGGAAAAAGTAGCCCCAAGAAGCATTTGTTTAAAAAGTGCAACAGCACTATACTGGGCCATGTCCAAGGACATTTGTTTGAGGTGGTTTGTGTGTAGATGTCACTCTTCCTTACTCATGTGGTAAACTTGTGGTGGATTGAGGCACACATCTCAGGGTTTTACGAGTTTCTGGGTTTACAGTTGGTTTTACTGTGATTAGGTAAGTGTTATTCTATTATGCAATCCAAGAACATGAGTTTAATGAGATGACCTGAGTGACTGGCAAGTATTAAGACAAACCACACAGTAGTGCAGGTGCTCTTTGAGCTCTCAGGAAACAGTTCCAGTCCAAGTGCT